TAACTTAGAGAAGCTGCGCTTCTCAATCAGAGGCTCTGATGAGAAAAAAGACCTGGGGTCCCTTTTTGGCTTACTTTAATAAGACCAAAGTAACTTGATGTGGTTACTTGGCCCTTGACATGAAAACAGTGTGACTATTGTAATATACAATAACATATAGTAATTATATTCTCTACTCTGGACAATGTGCTATATAATTAGTTTGATCATCCACTGGAACGGGGAGGGATGGGCCATCTCCGGCATAATTATTTGTTCACAATACTTTGCTGATTTTTATTTTTATTTTTTCTATAAAATGTCTTCACTTTTTGTATTTAATGCTACATGTTTCCACAACTCACTGCATTGTGATCTGTGGGATTTCTGTGTTGAACAAGAAAATGAATGAACATATTTTGAAAAGAAAATAAGTAACGTTCTATCCAGTCAACATTTGTTAATGGGACAGTTTTGTTGTCCCATTAAGGCAAATTCCAACTTTTGAAATGAGACCAGGGAGTTGTGGTGCGTTATCAACATGTGTGCGACAGTTAGTGATGTCACTTCACACTGATACCACCCTTTCCCAGCTATCAAAGTTGTTTGTCTCCTCTCAGTGTCAAGAGTTGGGGTAAGGGTCGGCTCAGCTTAGAGATTCAGAAACATGTGTAGTTTAGGAATGTTTAATCTCATTCACACACCACCAAGACTAAACAGTGGATCATTCCTGCTGCTGTGGACACATCTTCATGGTCTCAGCGTTCCTCAGTGTCAACACAACTTCCCTGAATAGGACATCTCTGCAAAAACACACTTATTTGGCTGATGATGAAGCCAAATTAGGCATCAAAACATTAATATCAGCAGATGGAACCTTTGTGAAAATAGTAGGAATAGATGAAAGTATTGTATTGTATTCACTCATACAAAAACAGATTTGCATGCATACATTAAAACGTCTACACACAATGCCTTCTGATGCGTTTAATTTAAAGCACTTTAATTCTCCCGTCTCAAATTTCTAGCCGGACTAAATGACTGCACAGACTTTGGGAGGGGAGTTTTTGAGGGGGGGGCATTAAGCCATGACACAAGTCCTGATCCATTAGTGTGGTGCAATCTGTAAACACAATAAGTGGGGATGCTAATAGGTCCTACACTCCCTGTCGCGGCTGACAATTATCCTAATATCCTCGGGGACAATCATTACCCGCTGTTTCCTGCAGTAGCTGTACTATGTCACGTCAATATATCACCGTTCCAAAAAGTTATTGCCGGTCAACGTGGCATTTTTCAAAGTTCAGGGTCAAGAACTTTCTGATTCAATTAATTGTTTTCAAATGATCTTTTTGCACAGATTTAGTTCCATACCTGTCTGGCTCTTAACATTTTAATTAAGTTTGTAATGCCGCGGGCTTGAAATCAAGCGCTCCTTTAATTCTGGGCTGAGCACAGGCCACCTCGGCCCCTTTGACCCGCTAGGGATAGATTTTGCTAAAATCACTCATTAGGAATTGATGCAAAGAAATGCAAGCCTCCATAACCGCTGAGCACAGTCCTCACAACAACGGGGGAATTCATTTCACCCGACATTTTGACTGGAGAGATTTTAATGTGTCTGAATTCAACAGATTTTTCGATCAACAAAAACACTGATCTAAACGTCCTGATGTTTTTCTCATATACAGGTGAGAGTGAATGTAGAGTACTGGCTTATTCAAAGTATATTCATTTATACCGGGACGGCGGTCAGTGCAGTTTGATTCATGAGGGAAAGTGTGTCTCCATCATGGTGAGGGAGTGTGCTGTATCTGCTTCTGATGGGTCCATTAATGAGCCTCCGTCCTCCCAATCTCACCCCTAAATCACCGCCATCACTCACTGCTGCAGAGCATCCGGCCAACTGAGAGAGCAGTGCATGAATCATACATAGGAGCAGATGAGTCCTGAATTATCCATCATCAGTGAGCGGGCAGTGCCTTAGGTGTAGTGCTGCTGCCTGTCTGGGCGACCTGCACGCAGCGCATGATGTGGCCCACACAGACGAATGTTGATTCAAATCTGAGCTTACAGTAAATCGGAGGCGTTTGGGGATGAGGAGCCGAGCTAAAGCTCCCATTAGCGAGCAGCTGTATCAAACACATCCTCCCAACATCACTCTGGCCATCTGCCACTGCGGCTTCATGCACTCGCCTGGCCACTTTAAAACAAACAGCCAAAGTTATGATTCAGCCTTTCACTCTGTATGCAGACACAATAAGTTGTTTTCCCATAAGGGCTGCACAATTAATCCTAGTTAATGCAATGTCCAAATTGAAAGTAGTGCAATATTTGGTAAAGGAAAATAATGTAATATTAACTGTATGAAGTATTGCGGTGCTGCACATTAGTCCTGGTCTTCAAATGGTGTCCAACAGACATAATAAAACATCCTAGTTGGTTAAAAATCCTCCTTAAAAATCACACCAATCATTTTAATATATGTTCAATAACAGTGTGAATAAAGTTTTGTAAATGTTTAATCCTCTTATATCGCAAATCATATCGACCTAGCATGTATTAGAGGTCGTTGTTATTTCTATGTGATTAATGTAAGTCCAATAAATAAGTGCCTTTCAACTCTGTTTTCGGTTTCCACCAACTCCTGAGAAAAACGTCTGCCTTTTAGCTGCTCCGTTGTTGTCGTTAATTGTGCGAGTCTGTCATTTGGTGGTGGGTAAATGAAAAGCAGTGATTCAGAGCTGCAGCAGAAAACAATGCTGAACAAAGCCATAACACCAAGGCTGTATGCTGGGAGACGGTGATAGGTTTCTGTGGGTTCGTCACTGCCAGGGGCATTCCATTGTTGATATGAAAATATGGATAACCTCATCCTCACAGCTCATTTGCTGGAAAGATGTCGAGTGTTCATATTCCCTATCAACAGTAGAAGGAGACAGAAGAAACCCACATGTTTTGCTTATTCAGCCAATCTAATAAGAAAACAAACGGAACAATCATATTATTGCATGAGTAAATAGTTGTACGAGAATTGATTTGAGTCTATTCTGACTGTTTGTCCAACTCCAGGAGAGAAAGAGTGAGATTGAGGGGGCTACAATGAAGCTGCCTCCTCTCTCTTCTTTCTTTAGCACAAATGTTTCTGCAGGTTTTGCAGAATAATAGAGTTGCAGTTCTGTACTGTTGCTTTAACCAAAGGCAACATGCACATCTAATTAACTCTCAAATCAAAGAGTGAATGAGACAAGGGGAAATTAAGTAAATATCGCATGCTTAATATGCATGGGAATATAAACGGAAGAATGTGCCATAAGGAAAATGTTGTTTGTGGTTCACTAAAAGCTCAATTTAAATGTTTAAGCATAAAGAGCTTTTGGGCAAGATATAATCAATAATAATATTTCTGGAGCTGCTTCATTGACAACAAATAAAAGCCTGACAGCGTTTATGTAAATGTGTGACTGAGATTGTTCTTGTGAGTGGTTTTGCCCCCTTCATTCCAAAAGAATCTCCTAAACTTCCTCTAAGACAATTTGGTGAAAGTGTCTAGGCTTAGTTTAGTCGTTAATGTGCAAAGACTCTACCCTGCCAGAAAAAAAGGAAAATCATATTTGGAGGTTCTGGTTTGGAGCACCTTTTCAAACTTAACCTTCCAATTTGCAAATATATCACATTTGGAAACAAGGTGCATGTGAGCGTCGACATAATAGGCAAATCATCTCATCCTACCCCACAGGACATCGATATGCAAATGATGGAGGCGCTCAAATGACTCCTGTACGTAGAAATCAGCACCGGACTATTTCTATCCATTTGCCAGCTGCAGAGCTGAAACCCTGCAAGAATCTCACCCTGCCACAGCAGAAGAAACCATAGCATATTGTCAGAGATGGTTTCCAGGCAACAAAGGTGCACGAGTTTAAAGTCTAAAAATAGTAATTGCACACAGAACTAAAATAAAGCACCTAAAAGACAGGATCAAACATTTTACAAGGATGTGTTATTTTCAGGTTCTGCTCATGATTGGAGGCGCTATTAATACCACGTTTTGTCACCGCGCTCACTGTGTTATTTTGACACGAGCTGTAGCGGGAACACACATTCTGTCCCCGCACCAGTCATCTCGCCGTGTGACGGGGACATACATCGCGCCGCCGCTCAGCTGTCTGCTCTTTTCCCTCCACCTGCCAATCACTGCCAGCCTGTGGCCATGGACCCCCTCGCAGGGACACACACCTAATGGTAAATAATGACTCGGCAAACTGACAACACACACACATCAGGCTGTGGTGATTTCACTGGGAGGTGTTACATCACACATTCCAGTAGCTTGCTTTTCTTCCATTATGCAAAACTAGATGTCAGACACTTCACTTAACTTATTAATACTCAAGAGGTTCTAGATACAAAGCGAGCTCTCACTCTGTAAGCTGCTCTCTGTAACCGAGCATTAGATAACTTGCTGAGCTATCAAGTCAGACACACACGAGCCACATAGTTTCTCACAGCCAGTAGTTAGGGAGGCTGGGACCTTCTTAACTGATTAGGATGGCCCGGGGCCTCTCAGTCTGGCTCTGATGAAAAGAGGGCTGAGGAAAGCAGATGTGACAGCCCAGCGTCAGATTGCTTTAGTAGTCAAAACAGCTCAGAAGCATGACTGCTGAAGCTGCGGCCTGCAGCCATGACAGTGGAGCACACCAAGGAGGGACTCAGCTTGGGAAGGTGAAAAGTGTGTGCCATAAAAAGTAGCATCACATGCATGAAGGAGAAGGCATTCCATATTGTTGTTTGTTGGCAAACTCCAGCTTCTGTGTCCATGTTGTTCATGTGAGCATCTCACATACACTTCTGTGCCATGAAAATTCTATTTCAAGGCCTTATTTTCATATGGACAAAAGCTACAGTGTAGTTTTGGCAATGGAAATCGGAAGTCCCAGGCTCCTCCAACAATGCAATAAATATTTATGATATATATACAGTATATATATTTATATAAATATAATTTCCGCCCCGCTTACCTCGTCCGATCCGGAGCCGAAGATCAGCAGGTCGAAGGGGATGGCGGCCACCATGTCTATGAGGAACCATCCTTTGAAGTAGTGGATGGCGATCTTGGCCGGGTGGCTGACCACTTCCTCGTTGGCGTTGACGTACGTGGTCCTGAAGTTTATGAGGATGTCCACGATGAACATGATGTCCACGATCAGATCCACCACGTTGAGGGGGGAGCAGGAGTAGCCGCACTCCCGCCTCCTCTGCTCCTCGATGTCGTTGAGGAGGAAGGCGGCGGAGTATGGCGTGAAGATGGCCGTGTAGATGACCAGCAGCAGGATGAGCCAGTCCCACACCGCTTTGAAGGGGCTGTAGTGCAGGATGGTCCAGTGGTCCATCCGGGGGGTTTGGAGCTTATACTCCGGCAGCACGTCTGCGCCCAGAGACAGAACCTGGGGGGGTGAAAAAAAAGTAGTGTGTGAACGGTATAATGACGTGTGTATGCAGAGTTAAATAATTGCCCAGGTTATACAGCCTAAATAGTCTGAACAGTATTTCTGGTATGAGAATGAAGAGCAGCAGTAAATACAGTTCAGATAAGTGCATTAGCATTTCCGTGCCTTTACATCAATGTGCGTGCTGGTTGGTGGAATTGCATTATGACATATGACTGAAGATTAGGTCAAGTAAAGGTCATGTTTGTTTGAGTTGAACTTCAGCAGCGTGGCTGTACAGCCTGTACAATCCTAATGCACTTTAACATTATCTAATTAAAGGGAAATATTGCATAAGCAGATTACTTGAGGCATGAATTTCCCTAAATGAATCATTCATGTGTCGAGAGAAGGCTGATAAAAAAGCACTTATTCTTATAAGTTGACATTTTAAGTACGCTTAAAAAACATTATTTTATATGATACCCATGTTTTCTACACAATTACTGAAAGAATTAAATGTGAATCAAAAATGTCAGCTGGTATTGTCTATCTAATCATATTGGCGTTTCCTTTGTGTTTCACTTGCCTATACTAAAAGAAAAGACAAAAAATAAAAACATATATTAGCAATTCAACCGATATTAAAACACCTAAAAGATACATTAAAATAAAAAGATCATTATGAAGAAACCAACTGAAAAAACCAACAGCAAGCATGATATCCTTACAGTGGAGCTTTCATCTACTCCCTCCAGCTAGCCTGGGTGTCACCATCATTACCTCTGTTATTGCAGATACCATACATCACTGCTCAATATTACAGCAGCATTATGGCCCATTTGTGATAAGACTCTCAATGACTTGGAAGTAATTATAGGCAGGAGCTGAGGATACATCTATTCATCTAAGTGTGTGACACTTCAATAGCCAGGAATGTTCAGGGCATGTTCACTGCTGATTATTGAAGCTATAAGGAGGAATGCAAAGAGAGATAGAATGAAGCATTGAGCGAGAGACTCCATGTCCCCTTATCTCTACCTCTGGTCACCTTTAAAACCCCCCGTGACTGAGAGGAAGGATGATGTAATGCCTGAGGAAAGGCTGAAGTGTTAATAATTGAGTTGGTTATTAGAAACTCCTGCCCTCAAAGGGGTCAGGGTCAAATGCTTCTACCCTCTGATACGGGATAACCTTTCAAATCGATCAGAAAGCAAAGGACAAACAAAGGGAAGGGGATTCATTATTCATCGCGCTGCCACTTCATTAAAAGCCAGCGTTCCCGATGCGTCTCACATCGCGCTCTCACAACCCAATGTGTAATTGCTGTTCACTTTCAAATTCCGCTGCTTAGATTTCTGTTTTCTTAAATAGGTACATTTTGAAACTTGCCATAACAAAGACACTTTTAAAAGATTATCCTACTTTTCTGTTTGTCTTGTATTGAGCGAACACTTTTTACACAATGTTACTGCATCCTGTGTATGAAAATATACAAATTAACCTCAATTATTCATAATAACTATTATAAATATAGAAAAAAGCTAGCCTTGACTGTCCTGGCACAGCACTGTTCTGTTTTCATGCAGTTTATGATTAATAATGATGATGCATGGTAACTCTGCACTACACCCCCACGGGTACATTACCCCTCGGCATGCTGGGAGGAGACTGTTGGTTGGCTTAGTGACAGCTCTGGATTAACGTGTTGTAGCCAATCTGTTTCTAAATAAAAGATCCTATCTTAATTATTTAAACACACCTACTGTAGCTATGTGCACTTGGCGCAAATGAACTCTCTCTTGTGGGATAATGGAAAGCTCGTTGTGTGTTTGGCTTGGCTTCAAACGATATGCAAATCAGCATCAGCGTTCTCCGCTTCTTTTGGGTCTGGGCTGGGCTATCATTTATAAGAGTGGAGTGTTGTTTCATGTTTCTGCGGTTAATCACGTGGCTCCAATCATTAAAAATGAGCTCCAGATAACTCGAATAACACGAATAGGTATTTAAGGCTCATGTGTGCTTGAGCTGCATGCACTGCGACATTCAATTTGTACCAAACAGCAGGAGAGCTGCTAGTCTCTTTCTTTATCAGTCGCCTGGCTTCCTGGGTGCAGCCTCCATCTGCCTGTGGGCGCTGTGAGGCAGCCAAGGCCAGCGGAGAGCGAGTCTGCTCACACGCCCCGATGGTGGCTTCAGATGAACTCAGAGGAGTCCAGAGTCAGGACATCTGCTGTGGCTTTGTGCGGCTCACAGTCAGTTGTCTAGAGCAGGGTTTTTCAAAGTGGGGGCCCCGACCCCCGGGGGGGCGCCAGGGGGCACCAGGGGGGTCACGCAAAGTTTGAGGGATAAGGGATTTTTTTTTTTTACTTTTTTTTTTTAATGTTATTAATAACTGTATATCTATCAATCTATGTGTCCTTTGATGCCGATCTTTTAATATTATATTAAAAGATCGGCATCAAAGGACACATAGATTGATAGATATACAGTTATTAATAACATTAAAAAAAAAAAGTAAAAAAAAAAAATCCCTTATCCCTNCACTGAAGGGCTTCGGAGATACGTCAAATGATCCCAATAAAGGATCATATAAATAAGGGAGTTGTTTGGAAAATTGTGTGTGACTTTGCTCTCATCAGTTGTGCCTGAGAGGAAGGAGTTTAATGAGCTAGTCCCCCCCCCCAACACACACTCACAATCTAAAGTGACAGCGTTGTGTTGTAGCAAAGGCTTCGATTTTCTCTTTGCTCATGCCTCAAAGTGGAGCTCATTTATAATGAGTTTCTTCGCTGCCAGCAGCAAAAACTACAGACTTGACAAGAAGATTTGTTGTAACTCTGCTTGGTGGTTGCTGATATAAACCTGAGTGCTTTAAAGCACTCAAAGTGGAGGCATGTGAGGTAGAGACATGCCCCTGCTGTGCTTTTACAGTCCTGTCTTAACCTCATACACATTTATTTCCCTCCTTTGGATTCATTTTCTGTTGTCGGTTCCACCCTCACTTGGCCGTCTCTATGTGCATTGTAGCATAGGGTTGTCCTGGCAACAGTTCAAAGAGCCATGATATATCAGCTACTCTCAGATTCATCCTGCAGAGTCAAAGCAGAATCTAGTAGTGCTAGTGCAAAGGGATTTAACATGTTTCAACGTCTATATTATCATATGCACAACAATTTAGAACAAAAAAAAGAAAAGAGAATCACTGAAGTAAAAGCTAACCCTAAGACATACAAAACTAAAATGTGGCGGTGTTGAGCCATTCCTACTTTCCTGGCTCATAGATGCAAATCTCATACACATACGTAATGCAGAATGAGATGAAATGCTGTGAAAAATGACTACAGCCTATTTGCAGACATGACTATAGGCTAGCTGTAGAGACATTGTAGTCTGGATCACTGTGATGGAGTGATAATCCTTACAGCTCTGCTGTGGCTACACACAAGCTTAGAGGAAGCACGTTTACGTTCATGCCCTTTATTTACACTAATGGAGTCATGTACATGCATTTTTACTTATTGATTTATCGGCAGTCCATTTCTGCTGCCTTAAGGCATTTTCATTTATCATCTTTCCAGGTTAGAACATGAGCATGGGAAATCATAACTAAAACAATATCAGGGTAGCTTTGAGTTACAAATTAGAAATAAATAATACACCTGCAGTGCCCTTAATCAGAATTGCCTCAGACATATATTCGATACATGCAGACATTGGCATTAATATTCATGTAACCTTGCCCCTTAAGTCATTGGGATCAATAACCCATTTCTTCAGTGGCCTTCCTCTTTCTGGTGAGGTTACAGCCACAGATCCGACATCATTTTCTCATAAGTCTCATATATAAAGAGGTCGTAATCAAGATGTTTAGGTCTTTGAATGAATACAATTAAACACAAATCATTTAGGTCGAGAAAAATGAAGCTTTTCTTTGAACAGTAGTTGATTTTGACTGCTAATACCCATATGGATCTTTGAGACTATTGGCCATGTAACTGATATGCAATATTTCATGGCTGCCAATATCGTCGTATAGCAGTTTAACCTCAGCTTGTAATCTTTTTCACCGTCACGTTTGGCAGGCCCGCTGCCACTGAACACACACGGGTCATTGTGATGTTGAGTCTATGGATTAAGCCCACACACACTGCCAATATGTGACGCTATTACCACAAACAAACAGTAAACAGTCTCACAGCGCCCTCCCCCAACCTGCCCAGCCTCACACACTTCACTTTGCAGGTCCCCCTCCCCCTGCCTTCTCTTACTCTCGCCTCATTGAGGGGCCTCACCCTCACCCACCCTGCACAGCTGTACAGAGACACGGTTCATCCATTCAGAGAGATGAATGGTGATTAATTGTAAGATATGCTTCAAAGTGCAATAAAAAGGTTTATGGGTAAAAATGTTGATCCCTCCTCCCTCCTCTCATATTTATGATTCCAGCCCAGGATCCCTGCTTTCTCTCATTCACAGATCACATGTTAGCATCTGCGAATGAACGTCCATTCATTTGTTCCCACCTAATCAGGCTCATTCATCAGATCACATGCTGACCTGATCGTTTTCATTCATGTTTGACATTTAGTCAATTGTTCTTGGCTTTTTGGAATGCAAATATGAATGTGAAACGGCACATGTTACTCTCACATCACAATAAATAAACAAACACGTAGGGATTTATTTATTAAGGTGTGAGCCAATAAACATTCATTGGGATCAATCACTGATATGTTGCTTGTGAAGTGAAAATGTTTTGGCTCATAAAGGTATGAACGCTCTTTCTCCTGCCCTTCAGGCTTCTGGGAGGATGTTCCTCAATCGTTGGCTGAGTAATAAAACGACACCTAACCGTTTCTTTGAACTTTAAGTATGATTAAAAGACCAGTACCAGAAGACCAAGAGTTCTAGAGGGTTCATAATTTAAAAGCAAATCTGATAAATAGCAAGGATCAAGACCATTAAGTGCTTTGGAAACCAATAGAAGTAATTTAAATGAAATTCTGATCATTCCTGCTGTTTCAAAAAGGTCCGGAGTAGGTCTGCTCAGAGCCTTCAATCCTCCTCTAGGCATAGTGGCAGACCTGATGCTTGGCCATTAACATGTTGATGTTCTTACAGTGTTTTCACGCCCAGGCTGTCAGTGTTTGACCCTTTGAATCAGCCTACAACCATGAAATCTAAATGTCAGGCAGGGATTAGCAATCTGCGGAGTCACTTTGACGGAGATTGTATCAACAAGCCCTTAGAGTCCGAGGGGACAGCCTACGGCCACTGGTCTGTTTCATCACAGCTCAACAAAACCTTACAACCGCACATTCTTAAGGCCTTGGACCACTGAGGCTTTGTATTTGTCATATGAGTCTCCTCCACACAAGACTCATATTGTTGTTTTTCCTGTGGGCAGACAGATAGCTGAGGTTTTGACAAAAGTCAATTGGTATCGCAGTGCAGTGTTAAGACAAGCATGACAGGAATTGGCTCCTGTCAAGCTGCTACAGTGTTGTTTAATCACATTTGTTTCAGTATCTACAGGTGCACTTACAGCACATCGCTGTGATGTTGTTATTGGTGTTTCCTGTAGATAGGACATGTCCTCCTGTCAGCCTGTGTACACAGTTTAATCTCAGAAAAGGAGAAACGCGTTATTTGGTTGTGTCTAAAGTCCTTATGATTGAGAGAAAGTAAAACCTTTAACAGTCAATATAATCCTTTTAATCAACACATCATAGATTATTGCCCAGATACAAAGCAAACACAGTTAAGCACACTAATAACACATATGCAATCACACACTGAATCAATACAGCAATCTCTCAGGACAACAAGCGCACCAATGACTGGCAAGGGAAAGAAAAAATATGTTAAGCGTACTGTATAAAAATACACAAGCAGGCATTATTTTCACACATCCAATCATCTCACGTTGCTGTGTTTGCAACTAGTCAGGTTTTTCCCACATTCATAATGATGAACGGTGTATTTCTGGCAGCGTTCACAGCGTGCTATTTGACAGAGTGTGCAGAGCCTTCCATCACCCTCCATGATCTCCCAGATAACCTTTCTCAGTGACACGGCGTGGTGCCTACAGCTTCAGACAGATTACTCCTAATACTACTCGGCCAGGCTTTGTTGTAGTCCGTGCATTGCTTAGGACTCGCCTCATGACCTTAAATGATATCCCTACGCTAACAAGTCAACCACAAGTACAAAATACCTTTTTGTTTTACAGCAAAAATGGGATTTCAACATTACACAATGACCCGTGAAACAGCTAACATGGGAAAAATAGCAGCATGATGTACTGAAGGTGATTTAATAATGTGCTCCCCACTGTGACAGTTATTAAGTACTATTGAGCATGTGCATTTTTTACATGATTTTATAATTCCATATTGTGATTTTGTTACGAGTCATTCTGCTGCCCTGATTTGGACTCACTTCAAACAGAACTTTACCTTTATTTTGGTTTCATTTATAATCTCAGAGTGAAATCAAAACCTGAGTGCACTCTTGTCATCTGATCGTTTACCTCGCAGTTTAAACTCAGATATTGTTAGGTGTCTAACACACGGTTATAAACCTTATTTTATACTTTTTGACATTTTTCTTTGATTGATACACACCTGTGATGCAGTGATTTGAAATGTGACCTCTGGGTGATGGGTCAGTCTCTCTGATGATGTTGTAACCTTGAGGATAAGGTAGCTCCTGGATTAGAGAGTTAAACAGCTCTTAGTACAACTGAATGTTCTCGGGGGGGAGAAGGGGAATGGAAGGCAGAAGAATAAGCCTTCCTCTCTTCAGAACAAGGTCTATTCTTATGTGTAACTGTTTAATTTCCACAACCGAAGCTGTGCTTGATGTACTTCCTTTATAGCCTAACGTTAAGTACCATAACCGTGTGTTTGCCACAGATCTTATTTTTTGCATGATACAAAATCCAATAGAAAAATCCCATTGGCTTTTAGTCGAGGGAGCCCTTGCTGTCTTCTGGGCCGGACTACAAAAATACATCACTGCGCCACTCTCTATGGTGCGTCATATTTAGGAGAATTCATTTGGAGGGTGGTATGAGGGGGTAAGGCATGCCACGTGTATATGTATCATTGTAGCTCACAGGCTTCCCCACCTTTGCACACGCCTTGTGCTATACGTCATCGTCATTCACATTTAGCTCACCTTCTCATGTAGAGTCAAAGAGGGGTGATGATAGTACAACAGGGATTGACTCAGCCACCCTGACTAACACACAGGGTCAGAGAGCGACCTGATTGGTTGATCTGATGACGATTATCCGAGAAGATGCTCCCCGCTGAGCTTCTGGCAGAGAGGGGGAGAGGGAGATGTCACCGTAAACCTCCAGCGGTGCATCACCAGCCAACAGCTCCCTGCCGCTGGAGGCTCGGCTCCCATCAGTGTCACTCACTGGCACACACACCTACACGTACACACACCATGTCTATTAAGCCCGGGCACAAAGCACAGGCTACAATTTAAAATGAGTTTGACTGCGATACTCTTGGTAGCGGTTTCTCCAAATTAGGGCTATCAGGATTCCTATACGCCCCCATCAGAAACAAGCAGTCGGAAGATGTTAAACTGCTGTGTGTGTGTGTGTGTGTGTGTGTGTGTGTGTGTGTGTGTGTGTGTGTGTGTGTGTGTGTGTGTGTGTGTGTCGTGGGCGTGTTGAACAGCTCTATGTGACGAAGGCACCTCTCTGTGGGAACAGTTGCTCACTGTCCTCACCTGAACTCCAACAGTGATGCTGCCTTCAGTCCAGATCTCAAGGTCAAATGACCCAAAAAGAAATGCTCTGTATAAAGATTCAACTTTATTGTGATTGTTTCTCCACTAAGTTTTGGATTACATTTGTCCATCTGTCTGCTGAAAATATATGTGTATTTATTCCATGACTAATGTGCGATCCAAGTCATTTATTAGACAGAGATTTAGTCCAAAAAGAAATGGCATGGAGGACGATTTGTTATTGTGGTGTGTTCAAAAGCGATGCCTCTAAAGCTTTGGTCTGATAACATTAAAGAGCCCCTCAGCATACTGTGATTTGGCATATTTTGTGTTTACCACACTGTGCTGTTATCCTGCTGAGCCATCTGCATAGCAACAGATTACCAGGTAGCCCTGCTAATCCAGGTAGGCTGCTCCGCGTCAGGGAGGACGTGGAGACGTGTGGCGCAGTGGATTAGTGCGTTGGTGTTGGGATCAGGGGAGCACAGGTTCAAACCCCACTGCAGTCAGCATGTCGTTGTGTCCTTGGGCAAGATACTTCACCCCAAATTGCTCCTGTGGGGATTGCCCACAGTATTGAGTATGTAAACATAAAAGCGTCTAACATGTAATGAGGAAATGAAGCAGAGTGGAAAACGGTTAAATCAATAATAACCACATTTCCCCTCAGGCTTAAGGCTTGTGGGTTGACTTTGACACACCGGGCGAGTGCAACAATGCAACAGCAATCTGATCAGGCTGTTATATAGAGGACTGACTCTGGATTTTGGGATGATTGTCAGTTTTTTATCAGCTCGCAACGTTGGAGATTAGTCACAAACAGCAAGTCAGCACTTTGCTCCATCCTCAGCATATTACAGACCAGTTTCTGCAAATTTGTGAAGGAGAATGCTGAGTCATACTGTTTTAAAAGACAGAAGTATATTTTGTCAAGTGTAGAATGGCACCTGAGGTGTCACATTAGGAAGCTTAACTATGTTTTGCCCTGCCTAACATATTCAGGTCAGAGATGCTCTGACTAAATCCGTTTTAGTGTCTTTCAGTGGTGCGTTCTCTCATTACGCTGCGCCGTGTAAACCAGCTCCATCGCCTGCTTATTAGATTTAGTTGGGCAGAGAACATTCGGCTAATTAATGCTGCCCGCAGCCTGTGTGTGAGCGGCTGTGTGTGTGTCTGTGCTGAACTGAGATCTGTGAACCTCATTAGTGTTTGTGTCCTTGTGTGTACTCCCGGTTTTCTGTCTCTTTGCCAGTGTGTAAATGTAAATGTTATCTCTGTTTGTGTGTGTGTGTGCGTGTGTTTGTCTTTGACCCTCCGCCGAGGCAGGATATGCAGAGGGACGGGCAGAGATTTGCATCTGCAGCAGCACCGGGATCTGTTTGATCTGTCCACTTATAACACATCAGGAGGCCTTCCTGCACAGAACCTGGGCACATACAGTATCTCACTTCTCAGGGAGGGAGGCCAACACAAAGAGGGAGGGAAGAGAACCGAGGCTGAAGGGACAACATAGCATCGTGACAGAAAAAGAAGAAGAACACAAATGAGGGTGGATTTAATAAAGTTCAAACAGAAAGGGGGGGAAAGCTGTATAACTAATAGCAGTGAGTCAAAAGAAGTCAGTTATACTGAGTTATTGAGGGGAACGAGCGGGAAATTGAAAATAAATAGTCGTAACAGATTGATTTTGTGCCTCATCACACACTTACTTGTCTTTTAAGTGTAATGGAAAACATGAAATGGGTGCACTCATACAGCAACAGCACAAGTAGATTTCTTTTTTACGATTTTTCCATATTGATTTAAATCACAAATAATTTGAATTCAGGTTCCATCCAGTTTCTCATACAGAATATCTGCCCATCCCTCCTCACACACATTCAAACACACACACACGCACGCACGCACGCACGCACGCACGCACGCACGCACGCACGCACGCACACACACACACACACACACACACACACACACACACACACACACATAAGCACCCAGCCTCCTCTCATTCTTATATTGCCCAAACAAGTTCAACCATAATGCCTTTTAGAACATAATACTTCGCTCCAATGAATTATAAATGCCCATGGTTTCCAAGCGGCTTATTTTTAGAGCATGCACACACACACAAATACACCCAGAGATTGCTTGACAAAGCTGGGGTTACGTCCCCTACTGAGGCATACCGAGGTAACACTCAGCACTGTAGTGTGTATGAAGATAATGGGCGTGTATGGTCCCCATATTTCTAATTTCCCTGTGTGTTCATGATGAGCTGCCATTTAATGCATTCACAGGGGAGACATTCACATTTGATGAATTTATCCTCTGTAGACAATGTTTTCTCCGTGGACCTGCTAGCATCACTACAGGGGAAATGATGTGGTGCAAAGACTGCATAATACGAAATATTATAAGATCAACTTTACTCTCTTGAAATGTGACCAATGAAATGAAAGGAACACATATTTCTTTGTGCTGGAGATAAATTAAACTAATATCCAACTTGGAACATAAGGTTGCCTTTCTCTATAGCAATCACTTGTTTCCATGGAAACAGACTCATTTTAATTATAATTTACAAACAAAATTAATTGTCAGAGTTTTATATATAACAGGATGCTCGTCATTGTCGTTGCTGCTCCTTGTTGCCAAGGAGATTAAACAGTCACTTTCGTATGAATACATCCTGCAGATGAGGGGGCTGCAACACGTTTTTGATCTACTTAATTGTTGGTTATGGGTAAAACATGGCATTTGTTCATATGAAACTACCTGAATTTGACTTCCTTTACCTCTGCACTTTCAAAAATGAAGCAAATATTCCGAAACACATGCAAATGAAGAAAGATCTTCGCCAGATTCACAGAACATGTGCAGTGTTTACTAAAAGCGCTGCATAAATGAAACGCCACAAATACAAAACTTTGGAAAATTGGAAGAAATATTTTTGAAAGTGCAGCACGTTGCTTCCTAATGGAAGTGTTTTGGGCCGTTGAAATGCATCTTTTCCCTCAAACGAATCCTATAAAGAGTGCCACCTTCACTTTGAGGAGGGGCTTCTGCTGTTCATTATCACTGAAGGCAGGGACGGCGTTATGCTGCACCCCCTCTTACTCCCTCTGACTGAAACTAATGGCTCCTTCCACTCAGGGTGACACTGATGTACTATTAGGGCAGGTTACTGTGCAGAATCAGGGGTCCCCGATACATAAATCAAAGTCCACGCTAGTGAGGCAGTGGGTTTGTAACCCTGCTCCACGATAGGAGCTTGACAATACAATGACCGCAGAATGGTATTCGGCAATTATATTGGTCCGTGTGTGGCAGGCATTCATATTGGTGGGGACTGCAGTTGAATGTGTGCCCCCCCGCAGAAAGAAATGCTGTAGGCTGGATGCCTACTGGGGGTGCTATAAATAGTCTCCTGGTGACAGCAGGACTTAGAGCCTAATGTGAGGGAGAGCATCTTCCAGAGATGTCTGTTTATTATTTATAACTTCATATACATTTCTACACCAGTAACCCTGCTCATAGCTTCTTTACATCCAATTTTGCCAGGGCTTTAAACTTAATACTAAAGTCAGACAAATATCTTAAGAACCATCTTTTTTTGTGTTTTTATTCCGAAGACAGTCTTCGGCTCGACTGCTGTGCTGATAAATGAGGAGCATTTAGACATGAGGCATTAACAGGGTCACACTAAATGTACCTCCTGTCGCGAAGCCACGGGCAAATCGTGGTTTAAAATCTGAGAGCAATTACATTCATTCTCCATTTAGCATCCAGAGAACGATAAGAAGGGAGAGACATTTCTGATTGCTGTGTTTTGCATACAAAGACACGCTTTCTGTGCGCCTCTTAGTGATCACTTTCGGTGTCATTTCACAAGTATTTGGTAGGCATTAATGTTAACACGAGGTGAATGGATGTTTTCTCTGACTGCACCCGGCAGCGGGGCGCACTCGGGGCATGTCTGGATTTATGAAATCATTCCGCTCCAGAGGCTTCCCTCTCTTCGGACCTCTTGACCTTTTCACCCGCATTTCTCTGGCGGGCCTCTCCGCGCACACAGTGTTATCTGGGAAGAAGATGTTTGAATGTCAGTGTGTTAATGGAACGCTCCAGGGTCAAACTGTGTTGCAACTGGAAAGCTATTTCATTACTTTGAGTTAGGTTTTAACATCTTGTTTTGCACGGATAATAATGTATTTCTTTTAAGATTGATAGGGTTACAATTTCAGTGATGTATCAATTCATCAAAGCCATGATACATTTGATTTCTAACCTTTGATTTCCTCTTGCTTAGGTTCTAACTTCCTGTGCGCCACACATATCATCCCCGTGAAGAACGAGGAAGGCGTGGTCATGATGTTCATCCTGAACTTCGACTACGTCCTGGAGGAAGGCAGCAGCGACTCTCTGGAGAAACTCAACCACACCACGCCATCCAAAGCTGACCACCGTGAGTAAAGGGGATAAAGGGCTGGAGAGCTAACAACATGTCCCATGCCCCAATGCTGTAAATCAACCATTGCACATCTCTTGTGATGTAGGTGCTGCAGGGGAAGTCGTCACAGATTGGAACATAGAGAAAGGAAAGGAATGATATCAATGTAGCTGCCACTCATGACCTTTTTACTTGTAACCTTTTTAAACATCCACATACATTTTTGTCTTTTTCTGACATGACCCTTTATATTTATCTCAATGCCCTGACAGACCATGCATTCTATCTTGCCTAGTTTGTGCATTAGCGCCCAGCAGGAGTTCCCTGCTGGACAGCTCCTTGGGCCTGTTGACACCAGCGTTTAGCAGACGCCGATGTGTTAGCCTGCCATCATCTCAGAGGTCCTGCCCAATTATAGCTACAGTGTGCCTGGATGGCCTGATGAACCAGCGGAGCCCCCGTCCCAGAGCTGTCTTCATAATAGCGCTCTCCAACATCTTCTTGATGCCTCCGTTCAGCTCTGTGTCTCCACTGTGACATCAGGCGCAGCAGCATGGAGGACCAGAGGTCACCCCTAGATGACTGTAATTGGATAAGGGTCCTAACAGGCTGCGTTGCCTCATGGGGTGTGCGATGTGTGTGTGGAGTATATAAGCAAGTATTGTCTCCGTGTGCCGGATCAGTGAAACAATGCGTATAAGCTTTTCACTTTGTGTGCGTGTACGCGTCACTGATAAGGCCTTCCTCTTTCACTTTTCTATGGAGGCTAATTGCTCCAAGCACAAGGGCAGTCCCTGATGGAGCACGCCTGTATGAATCAAAGTCTATCCGTCTAAATATATAAGTAGGCGTCCCTGAAAATCTGTTCGTCAGGTCTAGATACGTTTACAAGGTTTAGCCTCAGTGCTGCCTACATGTAACCTCTACCGCTGCTGTTCCTCATTTCATCACAGCCCTCCCGCACATAACTCCAGAGACCTAGTATTGCATTTTTTACTCTCAGATGGACAGAGGTCACATATTCTGAATAACTGCATAATTTAAGAGAACATCACTCACTGCTACGGATGTAAATTCAACTCAATGGAAGCCATGGTGTTACTATGCATCGGGCAGTTGTGTAGCAGCAGCTGCTTCTGAATGTTGTGAGCTGATGATCCATGTGTTGCATTACCTAGACTCCCTCTGGGGGATGAGCAGCCGTACATTCGCTGCTGCCTAAGCATTGATCCGTTCATTGTGCCACCATCTTTTCTCGCATTATGTGGCTTCTTCCACACATCCATTAATAACACCAAGACAAGTGGAATCAATCACTTTGTGACCTCAGCTCTTCTGGTTTAAAATGTTTGTACATAAAAGCCTTAAAACAAAACCAGAATGAGCAAACATTCAGGAGATACCATATTGGAAGACCGCCCCACCAAAAGACACAGATATCTCCTTCAACAAGAAACAAAGCAGTAATATGTTGAGGTAATGAGGTAACATTATAAAGAAGCCCAATTTAGCAAAATGTAGGATCTTTGAAGATTTGAAGGTTTTGGTCAAGGGCTGATGATCAGCTCATTTGCTTTGCAGTATGTTCTGCCTGTGCTTTGACACCGCCTTTGATTTCTGCAGTGGTCGGTATAGGCGTCCGATATGGGTCAACTTTAAGGTCAGCATAGTAGGGCCCGTTTTAATGAGTGTGTGGACACAGACGAATAACCCATGGTACTCTCTGGAGCCTGTGAGCAATATGAGTACAAGGAGTCCAGGTAAACTATCCTTAAGGAACACTTCAGTCTGTAAGCACCTTAACTGCACCGCTGTGTTTTATTCATCTAACATCCTGACAACAGGAGACGAAGACAAACGGAAACAAAGCCGTCTTTGTCCCTCTTTTACCAAAGGAGGAAGCTTTATTGTTCTCTTTCTAATTCTCCCTGACATCTGAATCATGCTCACATTACAGAAAGACATTTCACTCCCCAACACAGGGATCTAAGGGCCCAATTAATATTCAATGCAAATATTACTATCTGGTATCATAGCAACAAGGGCCACTGTACGTCCATTGGCTGTGTAAAGCCGGCGGTGAGTTTTAGCAGGGAAAGAATGAGAGTGTTGGAGAGGCAGTGAGAGTGAAAACAATCATCTACTGTACACACACACCAGTAACAGAACTCAAAGGCAGCTTATTCCTGCAAGGTTCAGCCCCTTTTTAAATATTACAATTAAATATAGCTACTCGCACATTTTACAGCACACAGCGTGACAGAATTATGAGCTAATTAAAAGACTTGTGGCGTATGTGTTTATCCTCGAGGCGCAGTAATACAAAGCGTTAAGCATGTAAAGGCTCTTGAGCTTCCATTTGTTATTCGGGTTAGGTGTCTTACATCAAACTGTCGGAAATGTAAAATGCTAGGTTAATTGGGAGAACTGTCTTGAAGTGGTGTGAATGCAAGTGAAAAGCGTTTGAGACAGCCTTGCTAAACAGGCTTTTGTTGTATTGTGCAGACTCTTTTGGAATATGAATGGAGACGCTGATTTGGGTTTAGCTCTGGGCGGATGAATCAGATGCTAGTTTTGAGCAGTCCTATCTGCCTCACAGCACGGGCTCAGATGAAACACAACTTTGTTCACGAGCAGAAACAAGAACTCATTTCCTCTTCACCAAGATGAATCACTTGTTTAGTTGGTTACGAGCGCGAGCGTCAGAACTAGCTCTGATGACCAAATTAATGCAAATGATCATTCCCAGCATCTGGCTCGAGGCTTCATTCAAACACACTACACTGACCCAACACAACAACAACTGTTGTGTCTAAAATGACTTTCTCTTTCTCTCAGTCTCACTGGAAAGCAGCAGTGAGGAAGATAGAGATGCATGCTGTTTCCCCCTCCTGAGTCTCCAAAATTCAATTTGATGTCCATTTTACCACCTATTGTGTCTCTCAGTACATCCTCGGCTGGCCCAGTCTTTGCACATATTGCAGTTCAGCGAGGTGTGTCAAATAAAATGTGCTGTAGTTTGCTGGAACAAATAAACAAAGGACACTAATGTAAAAGGTGTGTTTCTTGAAAGCTTCTATGAAGGGTCTTCCCTGCACATGATGGCATTAAGACTTGTTTTCAAAGAGTGAGACAGTGCTCTGATATGTATGGCATATGTTCAGGCGACTAAATGATTCACAACATGCAGGCCATGCTTTGCAGTCCATATGTGAAATCCTGAGAGCGCAATTTCCCCCTTGAAATGTTGGCAAATGTAGTAAAATGCAACTAAATGAGCGTTTTTGGAAAGTGTGTGATGTGCGTAGCATAGCCTCATTTTATTACTTTGTATGATTTTAGGTTTCTTGACTTTTTCTTGCACAACAGTCCCTTAGAACTACCTACTGTCATCCTTAAAGTCACTTTTCCCTTCATCTCCCCAGGAGCTATCAATCTCACATTAAAGTCCTGAGTATATTACTTTACAAGACCTCTCAACGATCTACTGACATTATAATAATCCACCAAATGTACTCCGCCATGAATAATTGAAGGATATTGAAGATTAAACTGGTGCCTGAGGCAGAAGGGGCATTTGTTTTGATCTGCCAGGGTCTTTTAAACATCGCTACATTGGCAGGCTTCTCAGTGCTATTGGCGAGCAAGTACAAGCTCTCAGCAAGGATATTACAGACCGCAAGCAAGTTCTGCTACAAACAAAAGGTGAAAACACAACACAACGTTGGAATGAGTTCTGTGGTTCTCACTGGCTCATTAAAAACCACCAGACATTATCAAAGCAGTCAAATAACGTCATAACAAAGACATTGGCTCTAAAAGAGATTCTATTGGATGTCTGTCTGAGGTCTTTCTTGCAAGTAAACACCCCAAATCATAAGCCGAGGAATTATTCAATCACATAACCACCTTTAGCTTAGCAATGGAGGGAGCGGTTTGTTTATGGCGATTGCTTTGTGTTATGTTTGACATTCATCTAAATCCCATTCTCACCTTTCAATTTCAGGGAAAGGGAGATTCTTTCGCTTCCGTTTCCCGGGCTTACCTCTCCTTGGCATCAACAAGCAGTCCCTGCCCCAGGAAGACCCCGACGCTGTCATGGTGGACTCCCCTCGCCACAGCGACGGCTCGGTGGCCACGCGCGACTACCAGCTTCCCACCACCCGCGAGAGCTGCAGCCCCTCCTACGCCAACGACACCCGCGCCCTCATCGGCCCCAGCCATTGCTCCACCCCTGTGTCCGGGCCATTGGACCACTCGTCGCCCAAGGGCCCCTGGGACCGGACGTACCCCGACTGCTCCATAAGGCAGACCCAACACCAGATCAAGGAGGTTGTCGCTGCTCCTTCGATCCCAGGACTCACTCAAACCGCCTCCAGGGAGAGAGTGTGCAGTATTCGCAGAGCCTCCTCCGTACACGACATGGAAGGATTCGGGTCCAACTCCAAGATGGGGTTCAGGGACAGACACGCCAGTGAAGGTAGGAATCTTCTGCTCTAATATGCCCTGAATGTACGCTTGACATTTGAATTTTAAACAACTACTGCCCCATTTGTTTAATGTCGTTATTATGTGTGTATAGAAGTTAGTTTGACACTAAAAGGATGTTGTAACATTCACCTTTCTAACATTCTCTCTGATCAAAATGCTCACTTTACTATGTGACATGGAAACTTGATACCTAGTGCACACTGAGAATGTGGTTTGTCAAGTGGTTTAATGATCTTTTGAAGACATCGTTTTTTAAAAGTTAACATTTGGCCCTAATGTTGTATTCACATTAAACATTTACCAAAATGTTGCAATACAATGACATTACCAAACTCCCTATGGTCCCAAAATAGGATATTAAAGATGTGGCGTACCAGTCTCTTAATCAGTATTATAGTGAGTCACGATCCACACTGTGAGCCATTGATCTACCCCCAGCCTGAATCACTCCTTTGGACGAGGGTAAAAGGGGCCCCAGACTGGCCAATCAGTCTACCCCCCCCTCCCCTTATCTGCAATCCTCATTCAAATAGCTCCATGAGGCTGACACAGTAATATGTCTACTTCACGAGTCATGAATTGTTCAAGGGGACAGTAGCGGGGGTTCGATGCCGGCTCCATTTGTCATCGTAGAAGCACCAGAAGTTCCTCTCACACCCCCCCCCTTTTCTTTCTTCTCCAACACAGACAATGGTCGCAATATTAAAGGTAAACAGTTGAGCACGTCTATAAGATAACTTCACTAAACCCGCTTGTTGCATGAGTTTTCCCACACGATCTAGTTCAGATGGATGACTTTGTAAGAGTCTTAAAAGTCTGGCAGTGCACTAAGTGACTCAGTCTCAGTGCACACGACCCGCTGATCCCAAGCCAGTTGCCCGGAGGAAGTTTTCTCAGTTCGAAAAACCACCGAACTCTGCACGCGCTTGCATGAAGCAACGCATTTACATCTCTCTCCTGCTTCCGTTCATTGAAGGAAATCAATGAGCCTCTACGAGACGAGGCCTCCCACTGTCTGTAACCTTTGTTTCCTTCTGTGCAACCTCTGGATTCCTGCTGCCATGTCTTAGTGAATGAAAACCTGACCGTGTTTCCATTGGGATTCTATATTCTCACCTCAAATGACCTGTAGCGGTGCTGATGCTGCATGCATTTCACAACATTATCCCACATGATGCATTCATGTTTGATGAAATGAGTTCCCTAATCAAAGTGGTTTTAATATGAATTCAGTGGTGGAAGGTAACCAAGTTCATTTACTCAAGTACAATTTGTGTAGTACTCTTACTGCTTGATTTGTATTGCCCAGGGCTGCCATAGTGTACCATATCCTGTACTATATTGTGATATTTTAAGTGATGTTTGTACCCATGACTACTGCAATCCCCCCTCCCCTCCGTATTCCCGCTGTCCCCTTTACCCCCTATTTCTTCTCTCTCCTGGTTTGCTAGTGTCTCGCTCCTGGATGGCTGGGGGTATGGCTTCAGCTTTTCCTCTTGAAGTTATTTTTCATGACTGCGATGACATTTCCTTACTGTGGCATGTATTGAAGCTGTGCATGCAATCTCTCATCCTCAGCTGTCAGTTTCTCTGTCCTCCACTCTCAATCAATGTACTGTACTGTGTGAAAAGGAAAACAACTAGAACATTCCTTTGCTGGCTCACACGACTGAGTCAGCAATTCTCTCTTTTTCACTTTTGATCAGTGTGTGTAGTGCTGTCACGTGATTTCACAAGAAAGCTGTTTCTAATATGCTGTGAGAACATTTGATTCCAACGCACCTCATTAGACAGATTGATGGTTTGACTAACTGTGTGGAGTCTTTCATGCTTTTCTTTCACCAACAGTGTTCTTCATTATCTTTTAATGAGAAACTTTGAAAGGCCTGTTCACCCTAGACAGGTCAATCTGAGGGTTTATATTTCAGTATCTGTTGTATTCTCCGTGTTGTGTTGTGGTTGAACTCACTCCAAACGTAAGGGCCTGCCCATGCTCACTCCCCATGTCACAACAATCACTCGAGAACTAGATGTCCTCGATTCAGAACTCCTACAATAGCACAAGTATAGTAAAAGATGGAGCAGCTTTTAATGCCGCGTCCTCCCTCTGTGGCTTTCTCTTCCAGGGCCGCTGAGCCAGATCAAATCCAGCCTGCTGGGCTCCACCTCCGACTCCAACCTCAACAGGTACAGCACCATCAACAAGATCCCCCTCATCACGCTCAACTTCTCCGAGGCCAACAATGAGAAGAAGTGCCCCTCCCCTCCGTCCTCGGAGAATACCATCATCGCCCCGAAGGTCAAAGACCGCTCACACAATGTCACCGACAAGGTCACGCAGGTAAGACGCTCACCAAGCGAGGTTTCCACACAAATATGTGGAAAGTTTCTGAAATGATGGAAAACTAAATTGAGACTGAGAAACACAATGCTTTCTTGGTGTTTTTTTTTTACGCTGAAATCCCCTTTGACAAGAGGTGCGTTCAAGTGCTATGTGACAATTAGCCGGGGTGCAGTATCACAGCTAATTAAAGGGATTTTGACATTCTCTCAATAATCAAGAGGAATGGTTTTGATTATGAAGCACCGGCACAGCACAGATTTATGACAACATAGTCAAAGCCGTGTGGTCTAAAAAGTGGAAGGGACTCATTGTTATAGCGATATATATTGTATTTAAATAGTTTGAAATGCACTGTGTGGAACATTTTAGAACAATCTTCCTCACGGTTCTTTTTATGAATGTTGTATAAAATCCATTATCAAACCATCTGGGAGTAATTCTCTGTTTGGAAAACAATCAAGAAGCGTTTATTCATAATTCATACCTCTGATGCTCCGTTGACTGTGCATACTGCAGGGGAGAGACATTGGAATTGAATAATAACGCTCATCATAATATCGTTTACTATCATCACAAATCACTCGCACAGATTGAGCGGACGATGAAGTGTGCAGATTGCTTCCACACCCCTCCTCCCCTCCCCCTCTCCCCCCATGATTCATTGGAACTCGAGGGGTGTGATACATAAAACGGCAGAGATGTCTATCACTGGAGGCAGATCATGGGGATCCTCTTACAGCTGCCAGACAGCGTCCATAGCTCCATCTCTAGAGTTACACAGAGGCTTAGAGGTCTTTCTCGCCTCTCCGCCTCGGCTGAGGGACAGGGACTGTAAGTGAAGTTTTCTCAGGGGTAGAACGAGGCTGCCCCAAACCACTGATCACGTCTCATTTCTACATTTCGCCCATTAGTGGTGTAATGGAAAGAGGGCGCAGGAAGTGACCCCTGTAGCTTAGAGGCTCAGCAGACCCCAGTGCAGCTCACTGGCCTCTCCATCCAGCATTAAAGTCAAAGTTATTAAGAAGAGGAGAGGAGAGGCCTATTAACGTGCTTGTGGCACACCAGAGGACCCGAAAACAAGTTGCTGTGTAATTTCTACTTTGTTGAAGTGTGCCGAATGTTTTCTAGCTACAGTAGCTAATATACACATTTATATCTACGTTACATTGTTCTGTTAACTTACACAATACACTTAAGTAAAAAAACATCTTGTTTCCTCTTGCATTTATATGCATTGTATTTATTATTGAGTTACCACTATCTGGCTCCATCGGTGTCCGG